ATCAAAAGACAGAAATCATAAAATAATATATTAATCTTTCTATAATGGTCATTTAACAATCAAATGGAGATAATTCGATAATATTGAATCCTACCAAAATCAAAATAAGTTTCCACAAACCATGATAGATAAAGTACCTCATTGTCTCTACACTATTTACAAACAGATACTTTTTTTCATAGTTATCTTTTTGTATAAGAAACTAAATGCCAAACAAAAATCATATGGTATAATGTCGCTTGTCCGTCAAGCACACTTGCTCACAATATGTTAGAAGTAGACATAAGCGGGACCAGTCATTGTTGGTCTCGGTACTGGTCAGAAAAAATCTTGGTTCCGGTCAGAAAAAAATTTTCGGTCCCAGTCAAAAAGAAAAATGTGTCCCAGGTCGCGACGGGACTGACATCCGAGCCGTCAAGCCAATAGCTAGTTAGAAGAGTAAAAATGGACTGGCAATGAGGATGAATGCGAGGATATTGTTGATATGACACAATTATTGATCTACAGTTAAAACTGTCTACATTATGAACATCGCGAGCGTCATATCTGAAAGAAAGACTGGAGGTGCAAGTTGTGACTTTGAAAAAACTGCGGAGCATTAAGCAATAGCTGCAAAAACTTCTTCAAAATGCATTCACAACATCATGTATTATTGTAGTTTTCCGACTGGAATAGCGAAACTACAATAGAATAAAAATGGATTGAAATACGTTCTTTAAATATTTGTTTTTGAGGACACTCTGACTATATCTTTCGTTTATCGTCACATGCGAGATTCAAGAAACAAGGTCAAAAAGAAGTCTTTTTCCAAACTATAGTAAAATATGTTGAGTCGAAGGTACACAACATGTTGGTTCATCTCTTTGATATGTTGTCCATTCAGCGAAAAAAGAATACGCAAAATGCACAATAGCAAAAAAACGACCCTCACCCTCCAATACATCCGCTGATTTTTTTCACTAAAAGGCCTTTCATTGATGTGCACCAATACTGTCTCTTTGAATCCACGAAAATTATATTTCTTTTAGAATAGAATAAGTAGGTTAGAAGTAATAGAAGCAATATTGAGTTTCCATTTATCAAAGCATTAGAATATGTGCTTTTCTACTTGAAATCTATGTAGCTTAGAATACCACCTGTGTGTTAGATATATAAAAAGAGACACCTATACAATACTGCCTCGTTTCAACACAAGCTATGATCAGAAGTGTAATCTGTTATTTCGTTTTCGTTCTTCTCAAGTAAATACCGTTGACTTTTATTTTTTATTCTTCGAACATTTATTGGTTTTCTATTTTAGCGTTACCATCACTACTCAGCAGTTGGGTAAGCTTTACATTAACGTGTCTCAACTCCACTAAATACAAATTTAAAATCAGATATATGTAGTTATTTTGCATCTAATATTAATCTGCATTAGGGTTGGCGCATTACTATTGCTGACAATAAGTGATAACTAGTGACATTATTACTTAGTACTAGTAATAAATAATAATTTTGAAAAGTAATGAAAGTAATAAAGAACTAATAGTTATAAAGTGATAAAGTAATAAATAATAAAAGTAATAACTGTTATTACTAATTACTAGTAGTAAGTGATAACTACAAAATAGTAATAATGTAATAGACAAATAAGATAGTAGAATTACTTCTAATCATCGATTAAATTTCGGCTCTCTCACTAAAGTATTATAGCACCGTTAGATTTCATTTTCCCAACATAAATTGATCTCAATACTTATGCATTACTGATGGAAGAAGTATAATTTGTGGATTGTGTAGACCAAGTTTGGTTAAAATAATACTTCATTAAAATGTAGAAAGTTAACCTAGTCGTGTAATGAAATCTTGCTTATGTAAATCAAAAAAAGCACTCATCCTTTTCTTTCGTAATTATTAGCGTTGGGAGAGTCTGATGTTCGACTCTTTTTTATTTTATTCAAAAATCAAAAACTGTCCGCACGCACATATACAAATATAACTATCTATATCTGCCCTTGAAGAAAAAAAACGCATATATATATATGTATATGCCGGCTGCCTAGATCAAGGGTCAAACTTAAGGACAAAAGAATAAAGAGTGATCAAGGTTACGTAACATCAGAAAGATCTAACAAGAGAGAAAGAAAGAAAGAGAAAAAAAATAAAGAAAAATAACAATAAGGAGGTGAATCTGCTAACACTAATTTATACAATTATTATTATCAATAACCTTCAACTATTCTCTGTTAAAAAAAAAGTGGCCCCGGGTATTTTTGCAATAACTCAAGAATGGAAAGAGCTAGAGACCTGTGGTTTTCACCATTGTGTAGGCCATTGAGTACCCAATAGATTCCCTAATCAACGATAAAAACATTGTCTTTTCAGGTAATGTCCTTTATCAACCTTTGAAAAGTTCGCGTGCAATTTTCTTACGAATTATAGTGACTTATTGGTTTTAAATGTTCAAAAGATAGCTCAAGTGTCTCTCTACAAAACAGCGAAAGGCTGACCTCTCTAGCGATTATAGTTAAAAAATGGAACACATTTCCTGAGATCCATGCAAGTGATTTTTTTACAAAGATAACTTAGAAGTACATACAGGAAAGAAAGTAGTTGATCATGGTTTTCTTGACGTGAACTATTGTTCTAAATCTTAAAAAACTTCTGTGATTGAAAATCAAGAGGTAGACTAATGCAGAAGTAATATGGACCGAAAATATGCAATCAAAACATAAAAAAATAAAAAAGTGAAAATATACAAGAAATAGACTAAAATGTTAATTACTGAAATAAACGAATAGTTATTTCTTCTATACTGTATTTATTTAGCTTGTATCGTCTTCGCCATGTTGCATTATTGTTCTCGGAATTGTTAATTGGTTTTCATTTTAAGAACTTGATCAGTTAAGAATCCTTCGAGAAAAGCAATGTCAACAATACTCCCAGGGTTGAACATATAGTCACACGTCCTGATAAACTGTTGTGTTATGAAAGACGGATGCGATAGGCGTAGTTGATACTAAAAGTATCTATACAACGTGGTGAAGATGATACAAGCTAAATAAATACAGTATAGAAGAAATAACTATTCGTTTATTTCAGTAATTAACATTTTAGTCTATTTCTTATATATTTTCACTTTTTTATTTTTTTATGTTTTGATTGCATATTTTCGGTCCATATTACTTCTGCATTAGTCTACCTCTTGATTTTCAATCACAGAAGTTTTTTAAGATTTAGAACAATAGTTCACATCGAGAAAACCATGATCAACTACTTTCTTTTCTGTATGTACTTGTAAGTTTTCTTTGTAAAAAAAACCACTTGCATGGATCTCAGGAAAATGTGTTCCATTTTTTAACTATAATAGTTAGAGAGGTCAGCCTTTCGCTGTTTTGTAGAGAGACACTTGGGCTATCTTTTGGACATTTAAAACCAACAAGTCACTATAATTCGTAAGAAAATTCCACGCAAACTTTTCAAAGGTTGATAAAGGACATTACCTGAAAAGATAATGTTTTTCATCGTTGATTAGGGAATCAATTGGGTACTCAATGGTCTACACAATGGTGAAAACCACAGGTCTCTAGCTCTTTCCATTCTTGAGTTATTGCAAAAATATCTGCTGCCACTTTTTTTTTAAACAGACAATAGATCAGTACATACCAGCATTGTATTTTCAAATTTTAAAAATATGGAAGTTTGTCTGATAAACTAATGCTAGATCATTAAATAACAAAGGACCGATGCTTTGTTTTAGTTGTTCTCTCTAGTGTAAGACCTTTTTCTTAACAAAAAGCAACTATTATGCAAGAACTATATTCATTTCAAAATAAAAGAAGATGACTAGTTTTGAAATAACTTTTGACAGGAGTAATATAGAGACCAGTAGTTTCACCGTATAAACGAGGCGCTGAAATTGCATGGAATCGTATATGTAAGATTTTTCTGACAAGTTTTCCCAGGGTTTTCCAACAAGTCTCTAAAACAACAAAACATTGCGTAAAGTAAAAATTTTGAGACTCTAATTTTCAGGAGTCCACTAGAATCGCTAGCTAAAGATCTACCAAAT